AAACAAACAAAAAAAGCCCAGTATTTTTTTAACGTTATTCTTTTATTTGACTTTTGTGTGCGATGTCATACCATCATTGTACGAGGTACAGATTTTTGCTAAATAAATTTTTACTATTATACGTAAGAAATGTACGTAATAACATCGGGTTGAGTCGACATCATGAGCTGAAAACCGTTTTCTACTCCCTTAAGATCCTAAGGAGTAGCAGTGGATACTTTGGTCCAGATTGGTCAAAGAGCCTTGTTATGTTTTATAACCAACATACATACTTTCAAACATCCATGACATCTCTTCTTTTTATACACTAAACACTTTCTTTGCTTTCCAAAAAAAATATATCTCAAACTTATATCACACAATATTAAAATCTTTGTGAGAGTAGTGGATCTCCTTCCGAAAAATAGGATGTTATAGTGATATTGCCAGCACCGCTTATTAACAACTTCTTCCGTTTCAAAGCAGAATCTCTCAATTCGCATGCCATTTAGAGAGCACTTCATCAAGCACTCAGTGCTGCAATGCACTTTTTTTTTTTTTTTAAAAACATAATCACTTTACACGTGCGTCAGTAAAATAAGTAGTGGAAAAACAAACTTTAATCCATAGAAAACAATAGTAACATTTGATCGTTTTTAGAGAGTAAACCGCGCACTCGCGTAGCCTGACGATCAGTGTCATTTTCCGTTTGTTCCAGGGTGAAACAAATCGGAATGAACAAACGCATCGAGGACATGCTGGAGACCCCCACAGCTCCACAATGGATTAACATCGCCAAGAGGATGGCCAGGATAGCCAGCAAGAACGCGGACAGTGACTAGTTTTTGATGAGTGGCGATAGTAGGCAGCGATTGGTAAGTAGCCATGTTGGAGGTGGTGGGTACTGATGAGCCAGATAGGACGTTTTTTTAAAAAGAGGCGTTTCCTTTGAAACCTTGGGGGAGGGGGTGGTGGGGTCGACCACCAGCAAAGTTTTATGGTTGGGGAAAAGTTCAATCACCGTTTCGGAAGCTGGAGTCAGTTTGGGGGGTGGGAGGGGTGGGATGGGGGGTGGAGGGGTGGTGTGGGTGGAATGCAAACTGTTGAATGTTGAAATATGGCAATCTTGATGATAAACGAATGTAAAGTATGGATGAGTTATGACGTCATTGTTAGGTAATTGATGAAAGTTTACACATTCTTTAAATGTATGTTACTTTGAATTGGTACTTTGAAGTGTTACTTTGAATCGTTTCTTTGCATTGTTACTTTGAATTCTCACTTTGAATTGTAAAGATTTTCTAAATTTTCATTCCATACGTTCATTTACAATCTTAGGACTAAATTTGACACCTGATTATTTGAGATTCTCCATGCGGATCAATTGTATCACTGGCTTAACTGCTTTAAAGAGAGGGAAATCTTTAAAAGTCGGCTCTGTGTGTGAGGATTGTAGGAGGATGACTAGAGACGAGACCCTGTGAGACCAGCGACAAGTGCCAAGTGACAAGTCATTGACGTTTAAATCTGTTAGAACATTTATTTAGCTGATAATTGTAATGAATAAATTAAATAAATCTTAAAAAACTTATTTTTTACAACAAAAAAAAAAAAATCAGGTTTGTGATGGACAGAATGGTTGCAAGTGATGAGCGGTATCAAGCATTACCTGAGAAAGGAAATGGCGATAGTCTTAATGATGAAATCGATATGCACTGATGTTTATATATATATATTGAAGACACATTCGCTTAGAGGGTACTCGGGGAAGCTACTCACGCATCGAGATGGGTTGAGGAAATATTAAGGTGTACATTGAAATGAGCTCGGACGAGACAAGCAGTTTGTTGTACGGGTCAAAGTTCAAGTTTGTGATTACCGTGACTGTAGAGCGTTTTTGAAGTGGATGAACGTAATATGTAATATAATATGTAATGTAATATTTAACTTAATATGTAATGTAATATGTAATATAATATGTAATGTAATATAATATGTAATGTAATATGTAATGTAATATGTAATGTAATATGTAATGTAATATGCAATGTAATATGCAATATAATATGTAATGTAATATGCAATGTAATATGTAATGTAATATGTAATGTAATATGTATCGTAATATGTAATGTAATACTAACGTAATATGAAATTTAATATGCAATGTAATATGTTTTGTAATATGTGATGGAGTATGTAATGCCACGTGAGCGAGATGACATGTGTGTGTTTTTTTTCTGCCCAGGCAAAAAAAGAAATCGTCGATATAATCCTAGAACGAGGATGGCACGAAGTGCTACAATTCAAAGAAAGCAATCGCCGAAAGAAGAAGAAGAAGAAATAAAAAGAATATTTTTGTAATTATATCAAGCTAGACAGACATGTTGTATTGACAGATGGATGGGTGTGTAGATAGCCAACGGCGCAACGTGTAGTAATTACACTTTAAATTCATGTATTTATGTATTTGCTCCATGTAATAGGCCTGCTCAGACTTTGTGAACATTCTATCTTAGTACCCTTTAGAGGGAAGATGAAAGCTAAAATCAGATTGTTCTCCCCTTTGATTATCTAAAGAGTGTCGAGACGTCCCCACTACATACTTGCTATTTCTCCAGTAAATCTTTTGGGTCATTGAAATGCTCCATCAATTAACTTCTGTTTAACACTTCACAACATAAATTCAAGTCTGTTCAAAACAGAAAAGTTTGGTTACAGTCATTTTGAACGAAGAATTTTAAAATTCTTTGTTAAAAAAATTATAATTTTACAATCGTCAAAAAAGTTTTTTTTTCTACAGTCCTTTCTGAAGAATACGTGATTTTATGGCCACGTCACGATTCGGCAGCGTAAGAAACAAATGAAATTTGTTACACATGATTTTTTTTTTCCTTGTTGGTGTTCGATATTTAAGAGCCAGTGAGTCATGCTATATCTGTGCATTATCTAAAGCCCGCATGCCAGACTTGTGACAAAGATTTTCAAATGAAGCGTTCACTAATGTGCACGTGGCTTTGGTTTCACATACCACATATAATGATCGTCCAATAAAATGGCAGGGGGTGGGGTAGCGCTGTCAGTAAACGACTGGCTACTTTAGTAGTAAGAATTTGTGTGCTGGGGCAAAATATTTAGAAATGGCCCCGGGGGTATGGGGCGAAGAGCTTAGAGTTAGGCTCCTTTATATAGCCGAGTCTGCCCGGGGAGTCGTAGGACTTGGGTTTAATGTCCACCAAACGTCTAACCTCCCCTTTGTCTCCACAAAAAATTTAACGCTTTCCCTATCAACCAGATCAGCTAAATTGGTCGGTAAATCTATAAAAGCGAGACTCTATTTTCATAGCCATCATCCTTATTTTGTGGAGCTTTGGAGTTCTGTTTTCTCCCAGGTAAGGGTCTTTAAAACGAGTGAAGTCTGTTATTTCTGAACTATTTTTTTTTTACATACTGTATCACCCAATGTACCAAAATGTAACAAGACGGAAGTCGTTGATGAGTTTAAAATGTGTACATAAACATTTAATTTAATTTTAAAAAAACCCAGTAAAATGTAAAATGAATGTTATGTGTTATGTGCTTATCTTTCACCTTTCATTATATTTTTTTTTTGCAATAAACTGTTTTAAATCATAAACGAATTTTTTTTCAATGTTTGAGATTCTTCCTTGAATATTAAAACAACAACAACAAAAACAAAGATTTTTGAGTTATTTTGGGGCCATAGTTGCTGCTAAAATTATGTGTAAAGTTTTCAAATGAAATTGTGTATGTCACAAAAGAAGAGACAGACCAAGACACAAATACAGTCAAAGGGGCAAAACAGAATAATCTTCAATAAATGAGTTAAGAGATCTCTTAGAGTCTGAGAAACATTGAAATAGAAACTCATTTAGTTAAAGATATTATGACATAATCATGTAATGAAGTGACGTATTTTTCCCCATCTCAGCTTCCGACGAGATTATGGGGGTGCATCACGTGTTTTTACTGGCCGCGGCCATCTTGGGACCAGCCCATGCCCAAACGCACGCCAACCCTCAGCCCTACCCAGACGTGCTCGGCGTGCAGCCTTACAACAACTACGCCAACAAGCCTGGATATAACCCTAGCGCCGCACCCAATACATACAACACTTATGGCGGGCAACAACAACCAGGCAACAACCAATACAACATCCCACAACCTAATTACAACCCACAACAAGACTACAACAATCCATACAATGGCCAGCAGACCGGCGCAGTCCCGTACACTGTCCCTTACACTGGCCAACAGCCCCCCTACGGTCCGCAAGACTATCTAGAGCAACCTCAGAACACATATCAGCAGCCTTACCCCGACCCAAACCAGTACCCATCTTACCAGTACCCATCCAACCAGTACCCTGCCATCCAGTACCCAGCCAACCAGTACCCATCCGACCAGTACCCAACCGACCAGTACACATCCAACCAGTACCCTGCCATCCAGTACCCAGCCAACCAGTACCCAACCGACCAGTTCCCATCCAATCAGTACCCATCCAATCAGTACCCTGCCATCCAGTACCCAGCCAACCAGTACCCAACCAACCAGTACCCAGCCAACCAGTACCCATCCAACCAGTACCCATCCAACCAGTACCCAGTCAACCAGTATCAGACAGGGCCTTATGCAAGCCAACCAGGGCCAGCCCCCACCAATACCTACCAGCCGTCAGGCAAAGGTTTAGATGTCTACCCAGACATTCCTACCGGAGGTTACGTCTTTTACGACGACGGTTACTATGTTGAGCGGGTCACAGCCGCCCCACCTGCTACGACTACCACACCTGCTACAACTACCACACCTGCTCCATCCACTACCCCATTAACCACCCCCGCCCCATACATTCCCCCATCAGTCACCCCTGCCCGCCAGTACCTCCCCAGGCCCAGCAACTACGACTCTGATGCAGCAACTAACCACAATCAGCCGTTGCCGTCGGCAAGCCTCGCTCCTTCCTCCCCACCTGCTCCTTCCTCCCCACCTGCTCCTTCCTCCCCACCCGCTCCTTCCTACCCACCCGCTCCTTCCTACCCACCTGCTCCTTCCTACCCATCCGCTCCTTCCTACCCACCTGCTCCTTCCTCCCCACCTGCTCCAGGCTATGCCAGACCTTCACAGCGCTATCGGGATCAATACAGAAAACCTTTCCTACCTTTGTACAATGACAGCAAGTACCCTGCTGTCCCTACTAACTACATACCTGTTGATCCCAACCCATCATTCACCAATTACGAACCTCGTTACCCATACAATAAGGGCTCAAACTATGATTACCCCCCTGCACCGGGTAAGTGCTGAATTATCGTTAGTCGATTACAAAATAAGATAAGATGTGCCACAAAAGCTCACTTATCAAATAAATAGTTTTGCCTTTTCTTAACGTTTCCTTTAGAGCAGTGGTTCTCAACCTTCCCATGTCTTTTTCCTGTTTGGTTTTTCCAATCATGTTAAAATCACTTCCTTTCTACTTCTCCTTACTTTGTACTTGTCTGGTTCTAGCGCCCTCTATAATTTTTGTTCTGTTTTAGGTAGGATATGTATATTGATATTATGTAAATTTAATTTATACTTATTTAAATGTGTTTTGTTTGTTTGTACTGATGAAGGCATGTGCCGAAACGTTTAATTGTGTATAATGTATAATTATTAACCAGGACAATCACAATTTGTTATGACAAAAGATACTAAAGTTTTGATATGTTTAAAAAATGGACCTACAAATTAGCATTATGTGGCGCAAATATAAAAAACCTAACCAATTTTCTCATTCTCACCACTTCTTTGTTAACTCTAAATACTCTCCACCAGTTCCACCCGTTGAATGTGACCTGAAGCCTTCCAGCACTCGTGGAAAGTTTTTCAGCGACAACGTGGAGATGGATTGTCCAGCAAAGCTCATCTTCGACCCCGTGAAATGCTATTGTGACTATGATCCGTAAGTAACTCACTATTAAGTAACTTTGCCATTGTATGCTTGTACTTAGTTTGTGTCGTGTTGCGTTTGTTTTAAATGTGGTAAACTATAGATTTGTTTTTTGTTGACTTTGTACCGCGCTTCGAGCCTTTGGGGATGAAGCGTGTTTTTGAAATGAACTTTATTATTATTATTATTATTATTATTATTATTATTATTATTATTACGGACGCCTGTTAAAGTGGAAATGCTGCATACTTTTTTTCCTCCTTTAAAACATACCTGCAGCCTCGTTTTGACCCTCAAGCACGTCCAATACACGGGTTGACTTCTCTCGCGCATCCTTGCAGTATTCTCATCTAGAAATGCGCTTATTTAATAAATGACAAAACGCTGGATTACTTGCTAGGATTGAATTTTATTTATAAAACATAGTCTGGATGAAGTATCACTGCTTGGTTGTTGATAGTAAAACTGGTCCAGCCAGAGCCGTCTCGCGACATTTGGGGGCCCATTGCTATTTCTCTGGTTGATGTCTCATAAATTAAAAATTATAAGGTTATCCCCCCCCCCCACACAACTTTGGGCCTCTGACATCTACGAGATTCAGTGAAACTGAAGGGGGTTGCATGACCCAAGTGACCGCTCTGATCCAGGTGACCATCGAGGTGTAGCTAAAGCAAAGAATCAGTTTTGTAAGACAGCATATCGTCCTTTACTGGACTTCGGCCTTTGAGTCAAGAAACGTGATCGACAATATCCAGACAATTTTAGTGGCGTCACAGTTGACATTGTGCAACGGCCTGAGGAAAAGACGGATATAAACAATAACCATAGCAGTCCCAGTTTTAAGTAACCACTTGCAATAACCATAGCAGTGAAAGTTTTAAGTAACCACTTGCAATAACCATAGCAGTGAACGTTTTAAGTAACCACTTGCAATAACCATAGCAGTGAACGTTTTAAGTAACCACTTGCAATAACCATAACCGTGAACGTTTTAAGTAACCACTTGCAATAACCATAGCAGTGAAAGTTTTAAGTAACCACTTGCAATAACCATAGCAGTCCCAGTTTTAAGTAACCACTTGCAATAACCATAGCAGTCCCAGTTTTAAGTAACCACTTGCAATAACCATAGCAATGAAAGTTTTAAGTAACCACTTGCAATAACCATAGCAGTCCCAGTTTTAAGTAACCACTTGCAATAACCATAGCAGTCCCAGTTGTAAGTAACCACTTGGAAATACTTGACAACGATAAGAAATATTAACCATTCTTAAGCATGAGAAGTCTTAAGAAAAAAACAAAAAACAAATTAAAACTTAAAATTACAACAACTTTTGTTTATACATTTTTTCCCCCCAAGTTGAAATTTTGATAACTTGGTTCCGTCTTTAGCATAGGTCCCACGTCATGCGATTTACTTTTTACGTTTTACCTTTAGAAATGTGACGTAATCCATCATTTAAAAAAAAAAAGAACAATTTCAGTATAACGAAACAACAGGTGTCCGATCTCTCTTGTCTTCTGTGAAGATCTCGCTCGACACTTTTACTGTTGGTTATGTTATAACAGTAATAAAAAAAAACCAACCTTAGTTATGTGATATAAATACTTGTTTCATTTGTTCCCAGCCACGTGAATTCTTACTAGACTAGCCGTTAAAGAAACATCAAGAGAAGACGCCGAGAGAACGTGGAGCTGGGTGAAGGGTGTACAGACGAAATGGTTTACTTTTCCTGACAAAAATGTCATCATCTGCTGTGCGGTGATAAAGCAGTTTTACTGTATAATCTATTTTTTGAGTTCAACAGATACATAATACAACTGTCAATCTCAAGATTAAATAAACTAAAAATAAACTCATTGAAAAATACAGGTTGTGTGTCAGTTGCGTGTTGTGTTTTTTGTTTCTTTGGTTTAGATATTAACGTCTTGATTTTAAAAAAAAAATAATATTCAGAACAAGATATTTTGTGGCTTGAATAAAAAAAAGTAAGACAATAAAGTGGACGGTTGAATGACTCAGCTCTTGACTCAGGCATACAACTAATAAAGTTCAATACTCAAAAGGGTCGAGATTCAATCTCTTAGGACCCTGGACACGATTTCCACGGCGCGCCTCATCTGCTGGGCGCTACCGTAAAGGAGATCATTGAGGCAGGCCTCCGGATTCCTACCGTCGGCCCCCATCCCACTGTTCGGACACGTGACCACCAAGTGGGCTACTGTCTCCTCTTCGAGTCCACATTGTCGAGTCGGTGGAGATAACTGCGCGTCACGCAGTGCCCAGTTCTCATCTGTGTGATAAGGCTTTGTTCTCCACGACTAAGCTTCCACCATGGGTCGCTTTTGCCCGGCCGCTGCATTTTCTGGTAAAGCTGTCGTCCAGTAGTGGCCGTGTCCCACCTTCTGTGCCATTTCTCCTTGAAATGGGCTTTCACCCAGGCAGTGACTCCGAGCTGAGTCATGGGTTTGTCTGGTTGAGGTAGGGCTGCGCCTTCTTTGGCTAAGAAATCTGCCCTGTCAGGAAGCGACGCCTCTGAGCGCGAAGTGATAAACTGAAAGACTACCTTAGAGCCATGTGCATGGATGGAGCCTACTGTTTCCAGAATGGCTGTGATCTTTTTTGAGCCCACCGATCTCCCCCCCCCTCCCATGAGTTCGAGAGCAGAACGAGAGTCGGTGAAGACCACAACGTCCGGGAAGGACTTTCGTTTCGCTAGCCGTTGGTTTACCCTCTTGAGAGCTACCAGTATCGCCTCGATTTCCGCATCGAGGCTCGTTGCATTTCTACCGCATGGGCCTGATAGCTCCTCGGGTGGAGCCATCTCTGCGGGATACTGGATGAGGACACCGTAGCCGCTACGCTTTTCCCCCGTGAAACATGAGCCGTCTGTGAAGACTTTAACCAGGCTGTTCGGGTAAGCTTCAATCGTGCGTCGTACAGCCTCTGATGGTTCTAATTGAGGACTGCCTTCGCTGGCTTTAGTGTCAATCATTTCCAGTCGAATGTCAGGTAGGGGAAGACTTTTGTGTGGCCCCCGCGCGGGGATCACTTTCACCTTTTCCCTGTTTCCGGGTAAAATAACGTCTTCTTCCAGACTGTGCACCGTGTCCATGAAGGATGGTCGCTTCAATCTGGACTTTTTTACCCATTCGTCCTGCAATTGGAAAAAGGGTTCTTCTCTTTCCATGCGGCGGTAGCTTTCTACCGTCGTAAGGACTGCCTTCTCCCGCCTGACCTCGAGCGGTTCGACATTGGCCATGATCTCCACCGCCGCATACAACTAAAAAGTAGAATTTAACGACTGCTTGGCAGTCCGTTGATCGAAGTCTATTTTTTCCGAAATGCCCAGCCCCAACACCTTCCACCATCTCATCCCAAAATTCTAAAATTAGGAATAAGGGTTAATGTAGGCAAAGGGGGCGTGTTTTAGAATTTGATGCTCCTAATTTACGAAATCCACAATTCCAATAAAATATAAATATTCTCTTTTAAAAAATGCAAACAGGGACCGCACCCTCTAAATCTGACGCCTGTCTAACCACGACTCTTCTTCAATTTTATAATTTGAATTAAAAAAAACCACAAGTTTTTGTTATAATCCCCCCCCCCCCATAAAAAATGCCAACAGGGACCGCACCCTCTAAATCTGACGCCTATCTAACCACGACTCTTCTTCAATTTTATAATTTGAATTAAAAAAAACCACAAGTTTTTGTTATAATCCCCCCCCCCCAACCTTAATATACTTAGCAATTTACTGCAAATTCCACTTAGCCCCGCGGGTGAGGGGGGATGGTACCTCCCACTTTGAGAACCACTGCTATATAAAAATAATCTAATTTGAACCGCCCTTTTCACATCAAAGCCAGTCGAACGCATCGTTTCGTGTCATTGATTACATGACAGTACATTCTCCGGGAAGAAGAAAAAAAAATCATTTATGTTATCTCGTCATCGGACTGACAGGATTATATTTGAATATTTTAAAGCAAGGTATGCCGGGTAAACAACGCAAAGCTGCAATAAGGATGATATAAATAGAAAGACATCCTTAAATTAATTCGGAATGTATAAAAATTTAAAAATAAAATGTTTTTTCCAACTGAAGAACCACGACATCAACTTGACATAATCTGCGATTTCTATTTATAGACACACTGTTAGTTTTTAAGATTCAGAGCTTTACTGAATTACGCATTGTGCTCACTAGACACCCACCAGCAATGATGTGACCCCAAATAAAGCTTTTGACAGGGTCATTAGAGGTGGCCTGTGGAAAATCATGAAGATGTATGGATGCCCAGACAAGCTCACCAACATCATCCACCAGCTGCATGATGAAATGATGGCCCGAATGCAGGACAATGGTCAGTCATCTCAAGCATTCCCCGTCACAAAAGGTGTGAATCAGGGCTGTGTCCTGGCTCCCACACTCTTCAGTATGATGTATTCTGTAGTGCTGTCTGGCGTGTTCAAGGACTCCACCACGGGCTTGCCAATCCGGTTTTGCACTGATGGATCAGTCTTCAACCTTAGGAGGCTTCAAGCTAAAACCAAGGTCAAGCATAACACGATCAACGAGCTTCTGTTTGCGGAAGATTGTGCCCTCAACGCTGCCTCAGAAGCCGTCATGCAAACACAGCGTTGATATCTTCTCTGACGCCTGCGATAGCTTTGGCCTCACAATCAACACAAAGAAGACTGAGGTGATGTATCAGCCAGCTCCCAGTAAGCCCTACGTTGAACCCAACATCATCATCAATGGACACCGTCTTAACCCTGTGGATAAATTTACTTACTTGGGCAGAACCCTCTCCAGATCTGTCGTCATGGATGATGAAATGAATGGCAGACTCGCAAAAGCTAGTGCCATATTTGGCAGGCTCCGCAGCACTGTTTGGGACATGAGAGGTATCAGACGAGAAACGAAGATCAAGGTCTATAGCGAGCAGTCCTCTCGACATTGTTCTACGGATGTGAAACGTGGACAGTCTACCAGCGTCACGCCAAGAAACTGAACCACTTTCACACAACCTGCCTCAGGAAACTCCTCGACATCAGGTGGCAAGACAAAGTTCCTGACACAGAGGTCTTTGCTAGAGCGAACCTACCTAGTATCTTCACCTCCCTGATGCAGTATCAGCTCCGTTGGATGGGACACGTAGCCCGTATGGAAGACAACCGGCTCCCAAAACAGATATTCTTCGGAGAACTCTCGATAAGCAAGCGCTCCCAAGGAGGCCAAAAATAGCGTTACAAAGACTCATTGAAAGCAACACTTAAGCCTTCAGCATCAACCCTACTCAATGGGTGCAGACAGCCCAGGACAGAGCCAGGTGGTGAGCAGCTGCCAAGAAGAGGGCTAAATCCCATGAAACTAGTAGGATAACCACAGCTGAGACACGCATGCTGGCCCGAAGGAGCAACATTAGGTTACCATCTGCAGCAACTATAACCTGCCCGCGGTGCCACAGATTATTCCGAGCACGGATCGGTCTAGCAAGTCACCTACGAGCTCACCGTAACCCACCCTTCCACTTAACCGGATGACTCGATGGTCCTAGTCAACTTCGACGGACGAACAACAACAACAAGGTGATAGTGCAAGTGCTAGTTGTAGTCAGCAGTGAGTAAGGTGATAGTGCAAGTGCTAGCTGTAGTCAGCAGTGAGTAAGGTGATAGTGCTAGTGCTGGGTGTAGTAAGCAGTGAGTAAGGTGATAGTGCAAGTGCTAGTGGCAGTGTGTTTTGATAAAAGGACGTAATATTAAACCTGTTGTTAATCAGAGTATCGAATGTAAATAAAGGACTTAAGTATTTTCAACATGGAGTCTGTGAATCCTAGGATAGTATTTGAGTCCCGAGACAACGTGGAGTCTACTGTTGTTTATTAGTCTTAGTCTCCAGTGAGGAAAATAAAAACAGATGGAATGCACTTTTGATCCCAATTAGTTCCCCATTCTTTTAGGGGATGTAACCCTTGAATAAATATGAATTTGCGAAAAAAAAAAGTAACAACGTCCACCACTGCGGCCATCCTTGGATTAAAACAACAACCACCAGGCCCCTTTAAACCGAGATAAGCCAAATTAAAATTAAAAATGTGCCGAAGGGAAAAAAATGGGGACATTTACAAACGCATATTTTTAAATCAGAGATCTATATAGATACAACCACAACTAATAATTAATAAGGGTACACTTTTTAAAGCATTATACAATCTAATTCATGTATAGCTAAATTAAAAAAGATATACCTACACAATGTACCAAAATAATAAACCTAAATAATATATCTAAATAATAAACCCCAATTAACATACCTAAATTGTATCTCTAAAAAGTACTTTAAAAATCTACATAAATAATATACCTAAATTATAAAACTTAAATAATATTCCTAAAAAACTACAAATAATATACCTAAATAATATACCTAAATAAGGTACCTAAATAAGGTACCTAAATAAGGTACCTAAATAATGTACCTAAATAATGTACCTAAATAATGTACCTAAATAATGTACCTAAATAATGTACCCAAATATTATACCTAAATAATGTACCTAAATAATGTACCTAAATAATGTACCTAAATAATGTACCTAAATAATGTACCTAAATAATGTACCTAAATAATGTACCTAAATAATGTACCTAAATAATGTACCTAAATAATGTACCTAAATAA